ATGTTATTATTAATTATGTATAATAATAATTGTAAAAATAATATATATTATAGTGTGGAGGAGAGTAATAATAAATAATAAATGTGTGATGTTTTTTAAGTGAAGTGCGGTGAGGCGTCATTGTTATTATTATTGTTATTTTTTAGTATTGTTGTTATTATTATTGTTATTTATTATTGTTGTTATTTATTATTTTTATTATTTATTATATTGTTTGTGATATATTTATAATAATAAAAAATAATTTGAGTTGTTGGCACGGATACTGGACGCGAATAAACGGGTGCAAGAGGCAGCATGCTCTGCGTTCGCGACTCTGGAAGAGGAGGCGAATATGGAGTTGGTACCATACCTATCGGAGATTCTGGCAACGCTGGCTGAGGCGTTTAATAGATATCAGGTCGGGGTTGTTTTATTTTTTTTTTAAATATTTTTAAGTTTGTTATTTTTGGTTAAACTTTAAAAATTTTTAATTTCATTTGGTCATCGTTTCTATTGATGTTGTTATGGTGTTGGTGGTATTATTTGTTATTGTTGTGGTATTATTATTATTATTTTAGTGGTGATGTTATTATTATTGTTATTATTATTATTTTTATTGTTATTATTGTTATTATTATTATTATTATTGTTATTTTAATGATTGTAGGCGAAGAATCTGTTGATATTGTACGATGCAGTAGGGACGCTGGCAGATAGTGTTGGATCGAATCTGAATCAGCCGCAGTACGTACAGGTGAGGGTGTTGGGTTATTATTATGTTGTTGTTTTTATTGTTTTATTGATGTTATTATTATTATTGTTATTATTATTATTATATTTTGATTTGATAGAGTTGTTGAGAGAAAGTAAATGATTTGAGACTCTAATGGAGCCGTTGATGGCAAAATGGTCATCGTTATCGGATGACGACAAGGAATTATTTCCGTTACTGGAGTGCTTATCGAGTGTGGCCACCGCTCTGCACGTGTCGTTCTTGCCGTTTTGTGAGCCGGTGTTTAGAAGGTGATTTTTTTGGTGGTGGTGTGGTTTGGTAGGGTTATTTGGGATTTTTTTGATTAATTATGATTGTTATTTGTTTTATTGTTATTGTTATCTGTTAGTATTATTTTTGGAGTTTTGTGGGGAGAGGATAATGGTTTGAGGAATATTATTGTTATTATTATTATTATTATCGTTGTTATTGTTTTTGGTATTATGATTATTATTTGTTAGTGTTATTATTATGGTTAATATTGTTAGACTTATTATGATTATTATTATTGTTATTATTATTTGTTAGTATTGTTATTATGATTATTATTATTGTTATTATTATTATTATTATTTGTTATTATTAATATTATGATTATTATTATTAGTCTTATTATTATTGTTATTATTATTTTTATTATTGTTATTGTTATTATTAGTCTTATTATTATTATGATTATTATTATTGTTGTTACAATTATTATTTGTTACTGTATAGGGAAGAAGAAAGTAGTAATTAATTTGCAGATGTACGGCGTTGATAGGGCGGTGTTTGCAGCAGGTGCAGTTGGCAGTGGAGCGACCGGCCGAGTACGATATGCCCGATAAGGACTTCTTGATAGTGGCACTGGATCTGCTGTCGGGCCTGGCCGAGGGCCTTTCGGATCACATCGACCAGCTGGTGGCGTCGAGTCAGATCGTGGCGTTGATTTATCAGTGCTCAATGGTGTGTTTTGATTTGGTTTGATTTGGTTTGTTCGATTTTGAGAAGTTTGAAGTGGTGATAATTTGAGGGTGGAAACGAATTTGTTGTTGATGTTATCGTTATCGTTTTGATTATTGCCTTATTTGGTCTCTTGCGTTCGTCACGATTTGCCAATTTCATTAGAGTCTGCGAAAAAGTATTGAGATGTCCTTTTTTGGGTTATTTGCGCCGTGATTCGGAATCGATTTCGGAAATATTTTTGGGAAAGCTTATTTCTGATCGTTGCGCTGCAGAAATTAGTGGAGAAATTTTTGGGGAATGTGGCCGGGAATTTCAATGGTAATTTGGGTATTTGTCTCGGTTTTGGAGAGCAGATCATGGGCATTCTGTAGCCATTCCATTGATAATGAGTGAAAATTTCTATGTGCGTCTGGGAAATTGGTTCGTTTGATTCCGGTGTTGTAATTAGGCATTTTTTTCGCACGATCTGAAAAGATTTGTGTGTCTTTGCAGTGAAATTCCAACGTGAATTGTAATATTTTATAATTCGGATGGCATATACGAGCTCTGTCATATGTCTGAAGCATCGAATGTGCCTGTGTATAGTGAGAAATTTTCGCAAAGTTTGAAAAATTAAGAAATTTTGATGCGGAGGAAATTTTCCCAGTCGATTTTCGCGAAAAAATAACGTTTTGATTGATTGAATTCCTTAAGAAATCGCTCCGCTCTTGTCCAGTGTCTCAAGCGAAATATCTAAGGTCTAAAGTCTAAAGCGCGATCAATCATGTAATCGATTGCAT